TTTCATCCGTCTGTGAAATGACTACTAGTCCGTGTTTAATAGTAGCTATTAGGGTGAGGTAGGCTACCAAGAGGCAAAATCAAAACTGTGTTTGCCTSATTTGTTTGTCGTATGTCATAAGTAAAACTATTGGGAGCTATAAGGAGATAATAGTATTTAATAGTACAATTCCTATTTCCCAGGCGGATGAAAATGACYCTAGTTATTTTAGAAATGCTATAGACATTATCTTCTTTAGGCAAACAGATCTGAATACAAGTTGAGGTGAAAATCTGTTTAATAATACAATGATAAACCGTTCARTAGATAATTTAGGAAATAAAAGTGATGGCCACATTCTTTAAAATTGCTCGTGCAACTGTCATTTAGTTGCCCCAGTCTAGCGCTTTTACGAATTCCTCCTCAGAAAATTGTAATAACTTGGCTGCTTCAATGTGCATCTGCAACAGAATATCATCAACTGAATTACGCCAACAAATGAACAGATTATTGAACTGTCTTACTGAATAAGACCTTATAATTGATAATAATAATGYCATCTAAGCTGCGTAACCCTACAACTTCAATGACCCTCACACAAGGTACTGAGATTACCCACCTTTGTGTACCCTTGCCATGATGTTAGTATAACATCTACTCTTTCCGGCCTTCACAAGGGTAACTATCTTAGAAAATATAGGCAAGTATGCCACRTGTCAATACCTTTTGACGTTTCAGTATGTCAATCAGTTTCATTTGCTTCTTAAATCCCGTCATCAACTCATTTTTCTGTTTCTCCAACCTCTTGTTTTCAACTAAAAGTTGGTCCAGTCTTCGTTTTTCTTGATCACTTGAGTCCTAAAAACAACTCAGAGTTCATACCACATTTCTGTGACGATTGGCGTAACATCTATTACGCTTATATGTTCTGGATCCACTATTCATCAGACTACAACCAAAGCGACAAAATCCATCTTCATGTAAACGTTGAAATATAACATAAGATTAAAGAGAAAATTATCATTAGCAAAAAATGTGATTTCTTATCACAATAACGCTCATGAATATTACCATTTTTTCTCGCGAAGAAACAATTTAAAAATAAAAATAAATACAAACCTCAGGATCCAGGGTAAACACCAAGAAAGGGACTCTTCGATAGTCTTCTTCACGGTTCCCTGCGCCATCTTGAAAGGTAGCCGTGCCTTGGCATCGAAGCCWGACGACCGTTGAGCGTGCAATGATAGAAACCTTCTATCACACCTACAGACAATTATTGAGTGGTATCTATCATTGCACGCTCAACGGTYGTCTCGCTTCGATACAAAGGCACGGCTACCTTTCAAGATGGCGCACGTGACCGTGAAGGAGACTATCGGACATACCCAGAGAAAGCTTAAAATCTAACGCGGGGAGTGAAGGACGCACCTTAGAACTAGCCTTTGCTTTGTGGAGTGCAGACTTGTATTTCTCTACTTCTTCCAATGCACGGTTTAACCTTCAAAACGAAAACCTTAAATGATAATTCTTTATTTTCTATCTATCAGCGATAACATGAAGATCAATATGAAGATTTTGTATAGAAAACCAAATGGCATCCAAGTATTATATACATATATATTAGTCGGACTAGCCGAAGGCTAGGTCCACATAAGTTTTACCTTTTAGCCAATCTATCTATCTATCTATCTATGTGTCATGTCGCGTTCGGACCACCAGAAGTTAAGAATTTAATAATTAACTATTGGGTTGGCTGTGTTATTACATGACCGGAAGCTCAAACGTATAGATGTACAAATATATCGTTAGTTTAAATGTCAGATTTTACTTGCGCTTTTATGTGATAAAAAAAACTATTCGTTTACAAATGTGGTATCTGTGATCTCATCGGAATGCATCAGTCTAGCCATCAGAAGTACGCGCATGTGCGGATCGCATGGAGCTTCGAGTAGTATGCTTACGGAACTGAATTCTAGGGCTAGACAGTCTTGTTTGGGCAAAGATTTCAAATTAGAACAAGAAGAAACTTTGTTGATCAATAATGCATGACCTTTTAGTTCAAAATTTAGATTTCTATCGTTTTGAAGTCGTTGCAGAGAGCAGTCGAAAAGAATATCGTATCGTGTGAATAAACGGTCACGCATTCTTTCTTTCACTATGTATTAGAAGTAAAAAATATAATATTCTACGCCATAATATACATTCAAAAATAGCTAGTCCGACTTCACGCTCCAAGAGCGTCTAGTTATGTGTAGTTTAAAACACGATCTTGAGTTTGAAGAAATTGCCGTAAAAAAATGTTTTGAGATAAATGGGACAAACTGATCATGCGCGAATAACTTAACAAAGCACTCTTGTCATTCCTTGTCATAAAGTAAAATAGAAGGACTGGTGGCTGTTTTACTGCAATCGGTTGACATCCTAAAGTGGTCAATGATCAGGTATCAAACCTGAGACCTTTGCTAGCCTCATGGCGCCTTTATATCCGGTCACCCTTATATAAAGAATACTAGGAGTATGGCTTTTTCTCATGATGATAAATGACTTATGTGTTCCAGCGGTAAAACTCTGGAAGTACGTCGACGATGTTACCATGTCTGAATCTCTCGAAAAACACCAACCAGTTGCAGTTCACGACCTTGTAACATGGTCCGAAGTCAATAAATTCCAAGTAAATGAGCAAAAATGCAAAGAACTGTGTATTACATTCCGTAAAATATTGCTAACAATTCCGACATCAAAACAAGGCTGAAAAAATTACTTCGCATTACCATAAGTAACGATCTAAAATGGTCATCTGCAAAGTCTCAACAACATTGGAGGTACTTCCTACGACAACTAAAACGATCTAACTTGGATTCGAAAGACCTACTGCTATTTTATATTACTTGCATTCGCCCAGTGACTGAATATGCATGCCAGGTTTATCACAATGCTCTTGTGAAAGTTGGTCTACCTACTTATTTACGGTGTTAAATTTATCTTTTTACACAACTGTTTCTTTAGAAAAACCGACGAAGTTCACACTGGTTTACCGCTAGTTTCCACTGTTTTACAAATGATTTGTTGTTCAAAGCTGCTTTTTGATTTAAAAAAAAACAAAGATGTCAAATTTTCACTGTGAGAAAGTCGCGGAAGGTTTCTCGGATGCGATGCACGTGGGCTTTTAAAAACGTTTTATTTCTGATCTCAAAACCACGATTTTAGGCATACGTTGAGAGATTAACGTGATACAAACTCGCTTGAGACATACCTTTTTTGAGTTACCCTTTAGMTGACGTATTATTTATTATATACTCTTATCTTATGTGCATTTATATATAAGTGAATCTTAAAATTGACATAAAAATGGAACCTTTTCAGAACTATAA